CCCCAAAACCCCAAAACCCCAAAACCCCAAAACCCCTAAAGACTGTAAATTTATTGAAATAACTATATAACAATCAAGATAATGAAAGGCAAAAGAGATATCTCACGAAGGAAGGACTGCAAATCTATCACCTTCTACAATTTTGATGATCTCAAGAGACTCAACGAGGACCTTACCTCTATAAGTAACGCTGACAACGAAGACTCCTCTCGGCTCCATTATAGCTTTAAGAAGAAGGATCATAGTTTCAGGAATACAAAGCATAACTTCAGGTAATTCCAATACTTAGATTCCTATAGCAAGAACAAGAGGTTTTTCGATAGGATTAACAAATCAAGGAAGGAGAATAAGATTACACCCAAGGTAGATGACACAACTGTGATCTCTGACTCCAATTCGACTTATCTGAACTCTTCGATGCCAAAGAAGAACAAATATATAAAGCTTAAAATCAAACCAGTGGAGGCTATAACAATTTTTAATAAGCAGGATAGGAAAAGAAAGTCTAGAACAGAAAAGAAGGTTAAAAATTCGAAAAGACTATCTCAAAAGCCAAACTTCCAGACTCTTCAGAAGTTACTCCAAGGAGGTAAGCTTTTCCATCTATCTGATTAAGATATTTTAGTGCCTCTTGAGACTATGAATTAGCGGCAGTAGTTCTATCATGGCCCGTTCTAATATTAACAAGAACATCCAGGATCCAGTTGAGAACTTGCATTCGCATCTTTTGCGGTTACATAAAGAGAAGAAGCAATGGTTGAATAAAACGGCTATTCCGAATCCTAATTCTAATCTATCCCAGACCTTATTGTCACTAGCACAATCCAGTAACAACTCATGGGTTCACCATAAGTCCCTAGACTGCATTAAAAAGGATCATAGGAACAAAATGCTGCCAAAGATTCTCAGACTTCGGGATATCACTGGTGTAAAGGAAAGACCTCCTTTTTACAGTAAGGATAAGAATTAGAAGTATTAGGAAGGTTATTTTAAATACTAAGCTTATAATAGAACTGTTAACTAATTTAGAACTGCTAGATATATCAAAACCTTATAACTTGCAGAGTTTCGTGCCTCCGCCATTCCTGTCGATTAAGAAGTCTACCCCAATCTTGGCTCAGAAGTTAAACCAGAGTTTATCAAAGATCAGGCCCATCTTGGCTCGTTCGAAGAATAAGACTTCGCACAGTGTGTTGCCCACGAACAGGTTTCCAGTCAAACAAGAGGTTAGGAGACTAGGTACGGCTAAGCATAGGCAAAATTTTGGGATTTTGGAAGCTAAATTTTGGACAAAGGTTCTTCATTGAGACCCTTAAGGAATCTACTGTGTTTTCACTGAGTTAAAATCTTTGGAATTTGAACAATCTGATAAAATTTACTCGAATTTGGGTGATTTGATAAATCAATTACTGCTTTAAAAGAGTTTAGTATATGTAATAAGGCTGATAGGTATAGATAAGAGAGAAGAAACAGAGAAAAGAACAGAGCTTTATAAGCTTCAAGTTCCCAGAATAATCGCAAAGTCACGAAGGATATAAAGATCAGTGGTTATATAAATTCCCTATGTTTGTGGAAATAGTCAGTTTCAACTTATAAATTCCAATAAGGGGTTTTGGGGTTTTGGGGTTTTGGGG